CTCTTGGTCGTCTCCAGCCTGCGGCCTTTGGATCAAACTGGAGAATGGCCAGTTTCCACAGCAGAATACCTGATCTGCGTGGTATGCATCCCATCCCTGTGAGTTGAGCTGACCAGATGAACTAGTTGTTTCCAGTGCTGACTGTCTTGTGCCAGCTGCTCTACATCCTCCATAGCACCTCCCGTGTTCTTAGAGGTCGCCCGCAAGGACGTCGAGCCATCAGCTGCAGGGTTTACCTATTGGTCGTCTCCAGCCCGCGGCCCTCGGATCAAACTGGAGAATGGCCAGTTTCCACAGCAGAATACCTGATCTGCGTGGTATGCATCCCATCCCTGTGAGTTGAGCTGACCAGATGAACTAGTTGTTTCCAGTGCTGACGAACTTGTGCCAGCTGCTCTACATCCTCCACAGCAACTCCGTGTTCTTGGAGGTCGCCCGCAAGGACGTCGAGCCATCAGCTGCAGGGTTTACCTGTTGGTTGTCACCAGCCTGCGGCCCTCATATCAAACTGGAGAATTGCTCTCGTCGGATGGTCAGGAGGGAGGCGGAGGACATGGCCGAACCAGTGGGTGTGACGTTACGCAGCCAGGCAGGATGCTCTGGGCTGATATGTGCAGGCTCTAAGCACTTCATTCTAAACCCACTGGAGCCACCTGATGTTATCGATGGTCCTGAGGGCTCTGTTATCAAAGCCATCTTATCTTGCAGTTAGTTTCTTATTTAAGGGCCAAGTCTCCAAGCCATAAAGCAATATGGAGAGTCCTGGTGAGTTGTAAATCCGTAACTTACGCCAGACTGTTTTCCAGAAAGACTGCAGGGCTGACGCAGCCAGGGCTCTTCAGCGGGTAATCTCTGGTTTTAGCTCCCCGTTGTCTGTCACTAAGGATCCCAGATACACAAAGTTCTTGACAGGCTCTAGAATGTAATTGCCAAGCTGCAGGGAAGTTGGATGCGGTCCATCACCGACATACATGAACTTGGTTTTAGTCCAGCTCACCTGAAGGCAAAGATTCTCAGCCTCTTCACTTTATATGCCCAGAGCATCTTTCAGCTGGTTGTGTGTATGGATTGGCCCTCATCGTAACAGACTGCTCGAAGGTGGGAGCAGAACTTGACAGTTGGAAGGGTTTGTATCGCTATTGACGACTCATTCTCTGTTGCCTCCCCAGAAGAAATCAGTTGTCTGAAAGTTGGGAATTCTACCTTTGCAAGCTCCCTTCGCTATGCTGTTCACCTAGGCTTGTGTTCAGGTCTGGGAGGATATGTAAGGTTGCTGCAAGCTGTTTGGCTGATGGATGTGGTGCTATGGACTTATCTGAGGCTACTATTGGCCTGCGCTGGTCAAGTGTGTGATGTACAACCTAGAAGTGCTGCACTGTTACACTACGTGAACTATCAAGTTGGGAATTCTACCTTTGCAAGCTCCCTTCACTATGCTGTTCACCTAGGCTTGTGTTCAGGTCTGGGATCATCTATGTACTGTATATCATCTTCATCTGGTTGGATGATGGATGTGGTGCTATGGAGTTATATGAGGATATGTCTATACTGTAGCTGTGGCTCAGACTGGTCTAAAATAGGAGTCCCCATTGCAGAAACGGTTGAGCATGAAATTAAGACTCTGTTCTAACACCTGTAGTTCTGAGCTAGTTGAGAGCCTCAGCAACTGATGCAGGATAGAGTTCCCTAGAAAACGGAACGTCTTAGGGTTACGTATCTATACAGATGATGTGTTACATTTCCATGCCTGCACATCTTCCTTCAGAAAATTTGAATGACGTCTTGCAGGCGCCCCATTTATATGCTCGAGCGCTCCGTGGGACGTCATCAACTGCGTCGGCCAAAGGTTTTGGCATGAAGTTACACACCAGGTTCTGCGTCCCCATTGCGTCAGCAATTGACACAGCTTCCAGTTACCTTCTCTGGGAACCGGAGTTACTGTACATACATAACCCTGAGATGTTTGAAACAACTCCGAGGAGATTAAATTAGCACAACGAATATTTTACAGTAAACTGTTAATTTACAAGTCAAACATAAGAAAATCTGAGAGCTTATTTATGTCTCCTAAAGGCTCTCACATTCGTTCGACACAACCAAAGGCAGAGGAAATAAATCACTGTTTATAATCCCTGTCAGGATTTCAGATTAAAAAGTAATTGTACTGTAAAAAGAACTGTAAAAAGTGCTGTAATCTATATCAGTAAACTTAATAAGGGTGTTTTATGAGTAAATTGTTCCTGTAACTCATATGATCTAATAAGGAAGTGCAACTAACCCATGGGGTCAGTTTACTCTCAGTTTCATTTTAGGGCCGTTGGAAAATAATGTTTGAACCTGTAATTTGATGCTCAATACAGGACATGCAGAAAAACATGTTTCTATAGATTTCATTTTCCTTTTGTCTAAATTATTGAACTGTCTTCTTATTATTGTATAAATATTTAATAGCCCAGTCCAAGAGGAGTATAATTGATGCATAAATAGTCACACTAATGAGCATGCTAATGAGCACATTTCTGTTTCAATGGTCCTGAAGTCAATGGGTTTTGGTTTGCCTGAAATAAGTTCTGTCATGAACACAAGCTGAAGATATTTTCACATTTTATTAATTTAAATAAAATAGATCAGTAAAATAAAACGAGTGGTTGCTGGCAGACAGATGAGGAAGATGTTACAATTCAATTCAAAATGTTTCTTCTCTAAAGACTCAACAGGAAAGCAAACCGATAGCAACACACACTGAACATAGACAATACCGGACCCTGGAGAGAAACAGAACTGAACATATATAGGCTACATGTGCTAATGGTGATGACTGATGAGTGCACAGCTGAGTGTGATTAGTGTCCGTAACAACAAATGAATGACAAAACATAACGAGTCCAAACTAACGTGAATGTGACATAATAGCCTACACCTTTGGGTTTTTTAAGCTTTCATTTGTTTTGAAAAAGGAAAATGTCATCACACAGAACAAGTAAACTCATCTAGTCGCTCTTACAATTTAAAATCGCACTCTTGCAAACTATTCCCAGATAGCAGACTGACATTGAATCAACATGGAAATATGACATTGATCTGACATTGTTTTGCTCATCGAATTAACGTTGAAGCAACGTCAGACGCGTCAATCTTTCAAAACTAACGGAAAATCAACTTGAAATCAATGCGTTGTTTCAACGTTATGAAAGCAAACCAATTTTCGATTTTCATTTACCTTTGAAGAATGCCGCGTCTGACGTTGGTTCAACGTTAATTCGATGAGCAAAATCAACGTTGTTTCAATGTCATGAGAGACGTCGTTTCCAAGTTGATTCAATGTCAGTTTGCTGTCTGGGTTCTAACTCTAACTTAGGGACTTTTTAATTAAGAAGAAAGAATATTTGGAAGATTAGTGGTGCTGACGTTGAAGTCATTGTGTAGTAGCTATATTTATAGCCTTTTAGCCTACATTTAGATTTTTTTCTTCTGGCAATTGTATTTAGGCTTCAATGTTCATAAAAGTGGTGTTTATTTGTGAAGATTATCATATCAAAACATACAAGAATCCTCAACTTTTGTTGGTCACAGGAGTTTTTCTCCAATCGTCCAAAAGCCAATGGAAAGTATTTTTTCTCTCTCGATGTAACCAGGGTGATACTAACTTTTTCGTAGGCCTACAAAAATACATCATCACTGCAGATATTATTATTTTACATTTTTTATGAAAATGGTATCTTGAGGGGGCAATAATCCATGTTTGTAGACACCCAGATAGCAAACTGACATTGAATCAACGTAGAAACATGACATCGAAACAACGTTGATCTGACATTGTTTTGCTCATCGAATTAACGTTGAACCAACGTCAGACGCGTCATTCTTTCAAAACTAACGGAAAATCAACTTGAAATCAACGCGTTGTTTCAACGTTATGAAAGCAAACCAATTTTTGATTTTGATTTAGCTTTGAAGAATGCCGCATCTGACGTTGGTTCAACGTTAATTCAATGAGCAAAATCAACGTTGTTTCAATGTCATGAGAGACGTCGTTTCCACGTTGATTCAATGTCAGTTTGCTGTCTGGGCATGGCCACAGCAGCAGTGCAATCTTAGTCTGTTTGTTGAGTCTCACTTAAAGCAGTGCTCAGTAAGACTGGGAACTTCTTTGCTGTTTTCTCGCAGGTTTCTCTCTCGAGCTCCCCCTACAGTTTCGGAGTATATATGAGAAAACTGTCGTAAACTCGTTGTCAACTCTCCCCCCTCCCATCTCGTTCAGGCCATGTGCATTTGTTTTCAGAGAAGCCGGCGAACAAACAGAGCATAGGCGTCATTTACGGGGGGGACGAAAGCCGGTCCGTTTTCTCTTTCTTTGTTCCTCTGATAAACACTTCTGAGCTTTCTTCGTCTTTTTTTACATCAGCCATCATGAAAACTTGAAGAATTCAATATAGCGTTACCTATTTCTTATAGCTAGCCGGCTCCTGGATGGATGGGGGCGTGTACGCATGCGTGTGCGCGCATAGTGCCGTAAAGCAATTCGTTACCTCGCGAGACCTGAAATCTCACGATACTTCCTAACACTGAGGCCGGCGGGCTGCCGGCCCAAAGTTGCAAGGGTGGTTTTGCGGCTCACAGGCACCAGGGGGTTGCGAGATGATCACCATTCTAAATCAGTAATATAAACATTACAATGACTCCAAAGCTGTTCAGTTAAGGTAAAAAAAGTTACTTAGTTCTGCTTTAAACTTTGCTGTTTTGCTTTAAACTTTGAAACTTTGCATACTATATGTTCTTTATTGCTTTACAGCAACTTAATGTGTCATTTGTGCATTTTTGTGCAAATGTTTTGTCCTTCAGTTAGTAGATAATTCAGGAGTTTTTTTTTCTTCTTCTTTTGAAAAATGTATCAACACTTTGGACACGATGTCAGTGCGTGCAACTGCAAATTGTGGACTGACAAAAGCACTCACCAAACAGAGATCCATTTTTGCTTTAATAAAAAACAATATAATTTGAAAATAAATATGTTTAATAGTTATACTAAAAACACAAAAAGGATGTTAATATTTAACAGCACCAATAAATATATTACTGTGAAAATATAATGAAAATGTGGCTGTACATGGAAAACAAACGAAAAAAGAAGAAGAAATTCTGGCACTTTCACACAAAGAGAATGTTTAGTGTTCTTGTCCGCAGATCACGTGTCTCCACCAAACTGATCGCTGATACAAAAAGGTTGAAATAAACAAAAAAAGGCGCTTTCAGGAATGTTGAAGTGTCTCTCTTGTCATTTGTCTTTCGTTCTATAAAAGCCGTCCACAGTTTTTCAGATTGATGACAATGTCGATAGGAAACAAAGCAAAACAATATCAACAATAACACTGCATATAAATAGATCAAATTAAATACACAGAATACTGAACATATTCTAACATTATAAATTAGATGAAGTGAACTACATAAAGGGACATTAGATATGTATATACAGATTGTGTGGTAATGAATCGTTCCTAAAGTTGTGTGCAATATTCTCTTTGGAAAATGTTACGAACCCTAAATATTTGAGTTATCTTTTACTAATGCCGTGAACTGAATGATTCCATTCCTTGGTAAAAGTTTTGTCACGTTTATCCTTTTTTTTTATTATTAATTTGTTTTTTATGTCCATATATACATACATGTAATATCCCTTTAGTATTATCACACCAAGTCCTATAGGATGTTAGTCAGTACAGGTGTCTTTTTGACTAAGACTTCACCCTAGTAAGAGTGACATCACAGAAATAGATAGTTCCGCATTCGTATCCCGTGCCTGGACCCACAGTTCCCAACAGTCTGGAAAGAGTCTTTACTATGTCACTTCCTCTCCTTTGATTGACAGTCTGTAACTGTTCATATAAAGGGGTGGAGGTTATCGTTTGCACCTCTCAGTGAAGGCTTGGACATTCGATCCGAGTCTTTAGACGTGAATCCACAGCCGGATGATCCAGTGAAGCGTTACCTCACCGTGTTCTGTCCAATCACAGGCCCAGGTGCAGTGACACTACAATTTATCCCATTCACACGCCAAGCAGCGTCTTCGTTTACTTGTTTGTAGTAATTCAGGTGATAGCAGCGACACACATTGTCATTTAATATATATAATATATATTCTATATATATTCATATATTAATATCTTAATATACATTAGGATGATATCTCCTGCCCTCATTTCATTCTTTGTCTTTCGTTCAGGGTAGTGTTTGAAGTTCGTCCAGGGAATGCATCCTCGGGTTTAAAAAGTGCTGTGCTGTAAAAAAAAAATTCCTTCATTCAGTGTTCTGCCCAGCGTGCCGCTCATCATCTTGGTTTTTCACATCTGAAAGAGAACAGTGGATTGGTTAGAGATCTGCACAGGGGAAGCTAAGCCAATATATGTCAAGGAAAGCCAACCCAAAACCCCACAACCAACCAGGGGTGCGTTTCCCGAAAGCATCGTTAGCCAACTATGGTCGCAAGTTCCGTCGTTATCTGCATAGTTTAATGAGTCGGTGTTTCCCGAAACCATCGTTCCAACGAACATAAGCAAGCTGAAATTCAGTAAAACTGGTGCCTTTTATTTAGAATACATACAAATGTAATTTACGTCTTTTCGTTTTTCAAAAGATTTGAAGTAACGTGTCAGAAGAGTGCGCATGTGCGAACGTGCTCTACTATGTAAGAATGAGCCAAATATTGAGTCTGGTAATAAAGCAAAACAACTGAGAACAATTAGAAATAGTCCTCAGATGACATGTCCGTTGTATATATATAAAAATATAGCGTTAATTGGATCTCAAACTGTTTCGTTAAAAGTAGTATTCGTTAAAAGTATTACTCCACCATGTGCGAAACCAACTTGGTTGAACGATAATTTGCGACAATGGGTTTCGGGAAACAGTCGTGACTAGCTAGTTGATTTTTCCAACGATGCATCGTACTATGGTAGTGAAACAGTGAACTACGCCATTGTACGGGAAACGCACCCCTGAGCTAAGCCTGTTCACCTACTATACTTTGTTCACAACAGAATGAATACTCCATGAGCATGACGAATGACTTTATGAAATAATATACCTTAAATGAAAATCAAACGCATCAAAATAAGTGTACTTATTTAAAGCATAAAAAACTTTTATTTTGCACTTTAAGTGGCCCTTTATTTCATTAATATTATATTATCTGCACGTAAACATACTTTTAAGATTAGTAGTCTATCTTGTTTTATTCAGAGTGTGTGTCATGTTATCATATTTAAAGGAGTAGTTCACTTTTTAAAAAAAACTTTTGCTGATAATTTATGTCATCCAAGATTTCCATGTCTTCAGTCGAAAAGAAATTAAGGTTTTTGATGAAAACATTCCAGGATTTTCTCCATATAATGGACTTCAATGGGAACCAAACGGTTCAAGGTTCAAAAGAGAGTTTCAGTGCAAACTGCAAACTATTTAAAGGGCTTTAAATGATTCCAGACGATGAATAAGGGTCTTATCAAGTGAAACGATCGCTCGTCTTATAAATAAATATCAAAGTTTACGTTTTATAAGCTCAAATGGTCGCCTTGCTCTGTTCTGTGATGCGCGTTCATGACTCTCCTGTTTGAACTCGTTCATCAAAATGAACGAATCTTTTTTCGTGTCATTTGGTTCATTCAACGAATGAAATGAATGAGTTGAGCTTATAAAACTTCAACTTTGTTTTGTTTTGTTTAAATGAGCGATCGTTTCACGTCATAAGACACTTATTTATCGTCTGAAATCATTTAAAGCCCTTTGAACAGTTTGCACTGAAACTGTCTTTTGGACCTTGAACCGTTTGGTTCCCATTGAAGTCCATTATATGGAGAAAAATCCTGGAATGTTTTCATCAAAAACCTTAATTTTTTTTCGACTGAAGAAAGAAAGAAATGGACATCTTGGATGACATGGGGTGAGTAAATTATCAGCAAAAGTTTTTTTTTTAAAGTACTCCTACAGTTATTTTGCATCGCTGGGAGTGTGATCATTGTATCGCGTGACACTGTATTTCGTGCAGTGTGCTCTGTTGCATACCGTGATTATGTCGTTATGTAAAAATGTTCAGAGGTTAGACTTTTGGACGGGGTTAAAATTTGGTTTGGGTGGAACGACCACAGGATCAAAGTATGCTGTGATCGCCACTAAACATACCAATAAAATGTGGACAACATGTAGAGAAATGTGCCAGGAACGGCCTCAGAAGATCACACAGTTCAAATTAGTGTGGCAGTTGATGAGAAGCAAACAGCATGGACACGTTTATATTCACATATACTGTATACGCATCTGAAACTTGGCACGTGCTCCAGCCAAATTAACTTCTGACTCATTATGAACATAAAATGGCAATACCTGACATGATAGAATGAATCAGGATGTGTGAATTGCACTTTACAAACACACACACACATATGCACCATCCCTGCCTGTTGTTTACTCAAGAACACAAAGTCATATTGCTTGTTGACAGAATATATTGTTAATGTCAGCGAATTCAGTCCATTAATCATTTCTATGCTCAACGCCAAGTGTTGACTCCAGAAAACATGTCGTTATTAGTGCGAGGCAGATTCTGACATCAAAGGTTGAATCTCACAGCAATAAACCAGACACACACACACACACTACGTCACCCTAAACATGCACATATATAAGAGGGAAAATGCCACAAGTGCTATAAGCATGCAAAGAGAAAGAGCTTCAGATGGGACTGGATGAGAAGATGCGTGTTGCACGTCGTGACAGTTCATAAACAAACCTGCAAGTTCTTTCGTTTAACTCAAGTTGTCTGGACTTGCATTGCAATTGTGTGAATTTGCAGGAGCATTTACAGGTGAGGGGGTCCTGCACATACAAGCGCTTTCTTCTCTCTGAGCAAGGCTCACAGTGGCTGCAAGGGAAGCAGAAAGGAGAGACAGAGAGACATCTAAGCACTAGTGATCTGGACACAGCGCTGGAGTGACGCACACACTCGTCACACACACAACCTCCACCGAACCAGACTGCGTCAACTTTTAAAAAATGTGTTTTTTTGTTTGTTTGATTTCAGCTGGTTAGCATTAGTGGCAGAAGGAAAGCTGAGATTGTGTGTGAATTCATCCATTCATTCATCCATCCATCACACACGAGACATGGTGATTAGTGGCAACATTGAATTCAGCTAGGAACAGTTATTGGACTGACACAGATACACATACACTCTTTCACATATACACATCTGAAAGCAGTATGACGCAAAAGCAATGTTTGCAAAAATGGCTTGGCACAGTATAGCAGTACGATGTCGAATCATTTCTAAAGTGGTTTCATGCACAAACACATTATTTAAAGTTGAATTTCATAAAAGTGCATCTACACTTACACTAAAAAAAAAAATACTAAATGATATTTTGCTTTGGTTCAAATCATATATTTTGTTGTAACATTTATCCAAATATTTATTTTCCAAAAACATCCATATAAAGTAAACTTCACGATAAGACAATATCATACAGTACTTACTATATTTTCTTTAAACATAAGCTAAAATGGCACTAAATATAATCATTTTCAGGCTTTCCGCAACTTAATGTCACCATAAACGAAAGTCAAATTAGCTATATGACAGCATATTTTTTTCTTAAGATAAAACTAAACTGTTTGTCAGTGTTTTATTTAGCTTGCTTGTTATAAATAAAAACAACTGTAAAATCTTTTATATTTTTGTGATGTCTCTTCAAACTGTGCATTATATTTTCTGTTATTAAAAAAAAATCCACAATAATTTCCGCAGGTAGTAAAGCACATCAACACATGTCAAGTGAAAATACTATGTGAACAAAACTATTTTTATTTATTTTATTTTTTATGAGGAGAGTTACTTGCTTAAACTGAACAAAACAGGTTTCAGTTCACCCCAAAAATGAAATTTCTTTCAGTAATTACTCTCTCATGTCGTTCCAAACCCTTAAGACTTTCGTTCATCTTCAGAAACACAAATGAAAATATTTTTGATGAAATCCGAGAGATTTCTGTTCCTCCACTGACAGTCAACGCAACTACAACTTGCATTAAAAAGATCGTAAAACTAATCAAAATTAATCGAGTGGTTTACTCAAAATTTTCTCTTAAAGTTATGTTTTTGGCCTTTTTATTAAGCAAGCTTTTTTCCGCCACAGACGCACGTCGGTAAACTAGGAAATGAACTTGCGCTCCCTGGGCGGGTCGGACTCGGCGCAAAAAGGAGGCGTGTTTCGGCGCAAACAATCCCTGGTGCTATTTTGCAGTTCCAGAAAACAATTGCGCCACTGACCAGAAAAAAACTAGTCTAAAGTCAGTGGCGCGTTGCGTGTAGGGTTGGGTATCGAGAATCGAGTATCGATTGGAACCGAGACTAACTTTTCGTTTTTTCCCGGAATCGTTCAAAAGTAAAAATTTCGATTCCTAGTTTCGATATTCACAGTCCGCCGAACAAGAAGAAACCGCTGAACAAAACCAACGAAGAAGCGTCTACCGGAAGTGTTGGCGAACATGAGTAGCTTACGTCGACGATCCAAAGTGTGGCTTCACGTTTCTAACGAAATCTCGGCAAAATGCAAAATTTGTGACAAAAGGAGTATTTTTACAGAAGGAGTATTTCCTTCAGAAAGGCCATTGGTTAGCAAGGTTAGCTAAACTTTTTTGACCCTGCCTCTTAAAAGAATCGGAATCGAGAATCGTTAGGAACCGGAATCGAAACAAGGAATCGCAATCGGAATCAGAATCGTTCAAATTCAAACGATACCCAACCCTAGTTGCGAGTACATTCAAATGCTATTTTAAGCGCGCATGCTTGGCCATAATGCAAAGTGTGAACATCGCGCATACACTGTTGATGATTCTCTCATCTACACAGATGCATTTTACTTTTTGCAAATGATACATTATTATAAGGAAAAAATATATAAACATGAGGGAAATCATTGTTGTGTCCATGACGATGGGAAAAATAGGCAAAAAGCGAGAACATTGATCTCCTCGGCTGTGAACCGATGCAGAAGCGCGTCTGGTAAATCCGCCGTTATAATAGTATTGCGCCATGGAACAAGCGCACCTCGTTCATCGCGCTCTTAAAGGGAATGTGATATGACGCTCTTATTGGTTTATTTCCGTTACGCCCAAATCACACCTATGAATAATGAAGCTGCTCCAAACCAACCCCTTTTAGATTTGCGCCAGGCCAAGAGGCATTTATCCCGCCAGGAATATAGCAACAGCACCCAAGACCCACCCACAAAGTTACTTGCATTTTGCATTTCAGATCGTTAAAATAGGGCCCTTAATCACTTTATATGACGAACAGATTTGGTTTAGGCTTTTATTCAATTATATACATCATCAATGCACACATACGATTATGTGAATGAAAGCTGAAACATACTTGCTTGATGTGCGAGAACCAATGAGGTTCATTCTCGTGTTACGCATCACGTTTGAGCTTCAGCAAGAACCAATGAGGTTCGTTCTCGTGCTTCAAGCAGGTTCGGTTGAACTTCCGTTAATGTTTGCTGATCAATGTTTATTTGTGAATAAACTCCTAAATTAAATCTGTTCATCATATAAAGAGATCGTGTCTCACGAAAATTCAGACGAAACCGCTCAATTTATATGAATTCGTTTTACACTCTCTATTTGTGGTAGTTGCGTAGACTGTCAATTGAGGGACAGAAAGCTCATTAAAAAATCTTCATTCGTCATCAACGAAAGTCTCGCGGATTTGGAAGAACACGAGGGAGAGTAATTATTGACAGTGAACTATCCCTTTAACTTGTTTCAGTGTAGTGCAGACAAACGCTCATCTCCAAGAGATTCAAGCTTCTGCTGTCAGAAACCACCAAAGTCAAAGGGGCTGGAATACAGGTGAGGATCACATGAGCGTGGCGTCATCCCAGCTGTGGCAGCAGATTAGTATGATAATGACAGAGACAGCCATGCAACCACTGTTTATTTACCTTTGGTTGCTTTCGTCTTTGCGGGCCTTGGGCCAACAGTGTGAATTTGAGAACAAATAAATGCAGACTGGGTGAGATTACAAAGTGCAAACAAACTGCCCTGAAATAAAGCCAATGACTGAGAGCAAAATACTGCTCGAGCGCAGGTGAGCCGAGGCGTTGAGATCGCCCGTATCTCCCTCTCTCGCTCTCTTTCGGCTTTTAACCCTTCCCACTCTGGGTTTTCTGCAAAAAAAAAAGGAAAATAACGCAAGAATAGGACATCTAAATGAAGTTTCCAACAGTCATGCTGAGAAAGATCTCTCAGCACAAGGGATGTCAAAAGTACAGACATAAAAAAGTCTTTGATTTCTGTTTAATAGATTTTTTTTTATGTTTACCCTCGCTAATGTTCAAAACTATTTTTTTAGTTTTAGGTTTTTCAGTCAGCACGGAGGCTGACAGTAAAGAGACAATGTTACAAACTGTCACAACTGTTTTCAATAATAATCCGACATGCAGCAAATCCCGATATTGTAATGATTTCTGAAGGATCATGTGACACTGAATACTGGAGTAATGATGCTAAAAAAATACAGCTTTTGATTGTAAATTACATTTTAAAATATATTATAAGATCATTTTTTTCTGTATTTGTAATCAGATAAACACAGCCTTGGTGAAATCTTACAGTCCCCAAACTTTTGAACGGTAGAGTAAATATATTTATATTAACATTTTAAATAAAGTAGTACACATATTCATTATTCATTTTTGCTGAATACTATCAATCGTGAAACTGGACCGGTGTAAGCACTGACTACTGACATTTTGCAATTGTGACAACCCTAATCACTACCAATTAAAGCGAGAAGCAGCGTGTCAAGGACAGACGCTAGTCCATATAAGCAGCTGAATAGTTTGAGCCGTAGCATGTGTGTGTGTGTGTGTGTGTGAGGAGCTTAGGAGGTAAGGATCGAAGTACAAGGAGCTGAACTTGAGCTTGTGAATCAGAACCCAGAGTCGCTGGATTCCCCGCCCCCCGCTTGCCTACGTGCTGAGAGACAGCGTCAGCATTTAGCCCCATTCAACGGATTTCATTTAGCCTTCTCAGCTAACCCAATCCATCTCTGTACGCTCACATTAACTTAGCCAGTTGCAGAAATACACAAAGCCGCCGCACATCCAATTAAACGGGGTGCGTTCCTTGATCTGAACGTACCGTTGGACACTTGAAGCGTGAATGCCATTCCTTTAGACACGAAATATTAGAGCAAAATCAAATGCTGAAAGAGTATCAAACTCTACCTTTACTTTCTGAGCCAAATTTAAATGACACTTGACATTTTAAACAAAAAATGAGCTGAATAATGACATAATCTTCTGTTTTATAGCTGAACTGAAGCTATAAAGCTATACTGTTTCATAATGAGTGAACTTTTGAACTGAACTAAATGGTTACTAAACTGAATAACCACACGAGTGTCCTTCTACAGATGATTTGAATGTGTTTCATCCTTAAAAAAAAGTGTTCAGTTCACTTAATCATTTGAAGGCAACGGGTTTACTCAATTTTTTAAGTAACTAAATTTAATGCTTAATTGAACAAAAATAAGTTGTCAACTTGACAAAACCATATTACTTATTTTTTTATTTCTTTTTTTCTTTTGATAAACCATGAAGTTCACTGTAAAAAAAAATGATTGTTGGTTTAACTTAAGAGTTTTGGAGATTACAGAAAAAAAATAAGTAACCTGGTTGCCTTAAAATTTTAAGAGTTAATACAATGAAGGAGATTAATTTAATCACCATAAACTCAAACTATTATGTTATCTGAACTACTGTACATAAATTATCTAAGTTGATTTGACAAAAGAAAAAATGTTGTGATTACAAATCATGAATATATATATATATATATATATATATATATATATTTTTTTTTACAGTGTTTATTTACTTAATAAATTTAAGGCAACAGTTTACTCTGGGTTTTTTAAGTTATGTTGACGTGACAATTCCATATTATTTATTTATTTATATTTATTTATATTTATTATTTTTAGTTCATTTACTTGATAAATTTAAGGCAACAGTTTACTCTGTTTTTTTAAGTTATGTCAACTTGACAATTCCATATTACTTATTTATTTATTTCTATTTATTATTTTTAGTTTATTTACTTAATAAATTTAAGGCAATGGTTTACTCATTTTCTTAAGTTATGTCAACTTGACAATTCCATATTACTTTTTTTTTTTTGGTGGGGGATTTACCATGAAGTTTATCTACTTAATAATTTTAAGGCAACGGGTTCGCTCAATTTTTTAAAGTAAATAAAATAATGCTGAATTGAACAAAAATAAGTTATGTCAACTTGACAATTCCATATTACTTAATTTTTAAGTTAAGTTAAGTCAACTGATCACTTTTTATAGTTTTGCATCATTAATTCTGCTACTTTCCGGTTTATTATTATGAAGCCTTTTTATAAACAATTTCTATATTAAAGGTGATGACTTAATCCATCTGACATTGTATATTGTGAATATTGTTGGCTCATTGCCAAATTGCTTTTGTTCATCTTTACATGTAAATGTGTTGCTTGGGTAAAAAAGCCTTCTTTCGCTATTTTCCCCTAAAATGACTGCCATTTTATTTAATATTTCTGTTATGTAACACAATGGACTGGCTTATGTGGCTTCAGATACTTTAGGGGTCTATGTATACTTAAACACACAGGTTAAAACACAATAGCACTGAATGAGGTTTGTGAAACAGCTCACAGTAACCAACAATAGCCTCTGTCTCAGGATCACATACTATTTAAAAGGCTAAAAATAAAAGTGGGTTAACGACAGACACTTGCTACTATGATTAGTATGTGGAAGCAGGCAAGGGTCAGCCCTGAGCAACTGTGGTGTGAGAGTAAGCGGGTGGTCTTCACAGCCACCATCGTACAGCTGCCATAAAGAGCAAAACCTCACCCCAAAAGAAAAACTGAAACCATCCAATAAAAGAGTCTGTTATCAGGTCTCAGGTCAGAGGTCCTTTGAGATATATGCGGAGCAAATTAGGCTTTTACTATGGGCTGTAAAACCCTCAGAGCGGCCAGGAGGAGACATGACAAGCTGCACACTCAACTCTTATGAAACGGATTGTTCTTGCTCTAAAATTAGACCGCACCAGCCACATTTTAAGGCATATTACTAGGGGAATGAACTGTCTATTGTGGTCACGTTCATGCTCCCAAAATCAATCAACCTATCGTGGTTTTATTCTACAACACGTACTTCACATCAGTGTTGTAGTCGAGACCACCTCACTCGAGTCCGAGTCAAGACCGAGTCCATAGAGAGTCGAGTCCGAGACCAAAGACGGTCGAGTCCGAGTCGAGACCGAGACCAGTGAGGGTTGATTACCTAATTTACTTTTATTTACTTAGAGAAATCCTTTTTTTTTTTTTTTACTGAATTTACTTGGAGTTTAAAAAATATGATCAGTTTAGGGTAAAACGGCCACATAGTAGGTGGTGTTAAAAGTAATTTCATTACAATTTGTCATGCGCACTAGAAAATCACCAATCACTGGGCGTGTCAATCAATTTAAAGAAATATTTTACTCACATACATTAATAATCATGAAAAATATTTTTAATTGAACTCGAGTGGACTCGGGAATAATTCCGAGTCCTAAAAAAAAAAATGTTCGAGTACGAGTCAATTTCGAGTCCAAATGGACACGAGTCCATGACAAGACCAAGACCATTAAAATATGGTCTCGAGACCGAGTCCGAGTCTCGAGTACTACAACACTGCTTCACATATCGCGTCTTTTAAGTTCGCTATTTTACGTTTACAATAGAAAGCGACGCGCTCATTTTATGATGAAATAATCCCAACTTTTGCGAATTCTGCAATTCTTCCAATCATAGATCCAATGATCCAATCATAGACTCTTACGACTTAAGTATTAGCCTATTTAAATCCAATTTGAATTTTGCCGCACTCTTATTTGTTTTCAGAAAGAAACATGCAAAGAGTGGCCGATTTTGTAGAAATTTGTGAATGGTTGGCAGTGCTATTGCATGAGGATCTGCAAAGCTTTCTGATGACACAGATTCAGCGTGGCTATGCTGATGCAATTGCTTTTTTTTCTTCCGTTTTTCTTTGTGAGACAGGCTGCCATGTTCACCAGATGTCAATCATTAAATTATGAATAGTTATCTCTGCCAGAAAGAGAGATGTATTTGCTATAAAAAGATGTCTAACACAAATAAAAGGAAAAACTGGTTTGGTTTAGGTTGCTGTGTCATGATGAAGTCCTGCTGAAAGCAGCGAGTCTCGAGTTTGTCCTGAGGATTAGGAGGGATTCGGCTGTTTCAGTGGAAGTTGATTTCACTGTTTGGGTGTGAGAACAGTCAAGAGTTTCACTTTATTCGTTATGTTGTGGGGAAACAGGGTTGAGGGTGTGTCGAGGCGTGCTGTGGGAGTCATGACGAGCTGTGCTTGTAGGGATTTTTACGCACTGAATATAAGTCAATATATTTAATGTTCACAATATACGAAAGTAGCAAGCAATTTAGCATTGTTATGATAAAAAAACAAAGTCCCTTGCAGGTAAAGTCTGCTCACTCGGCGGCCATATTTGGAACGGCTTCGGGCAGCAGTTTCGGGCATCTAAATGAATGAGTTTAATACTCAAATTTAAATAACATATTTAAAATCAGCAACAAAATCTGTCATGAACTGTGCCATAAATGTTGTTTCTTATGCCTTGACTGGACGAGCGCGCGTCACAAAACGAACTTTTTTTATTTAAAAAGCGGGACATTGCACTTTCTCTTAAACATAAGTAGTGCATAGTCTAATGTCTTTGATTCACTGTTAATTTGGCAATTATTGCACGCTCACAATTATGTCTGTAAATTACATAGTTGTAATTTTTAATATGTATTCATTCATGTCTTTATAATGCCAGACAGAAGGCGTGCTAATGGTTTAGACTAGACAATGTTATTTTAGTATCATTGATATACCATTATAGTTTTTGCTAATATTTTGGAATTTGCAATGTAGGATTTTATATCATATATATATATTTTTTTTATTTATTTATACTTTTAAGTTTTGGTTTATTTATTTTGAGCTATTTTAGTACTTCAATTTAAACTTAAAGAAAAAGAAATATTGACTTAATTAGCTGAAATAAAAAAGCTTGGTTTTTAATATCTACTTTAAACAGTATATATATATTTGTTTTTATACATATTTTTTATATGGTTTTTAGTTTTAGTTAACAATGAAAACCTCTGGTCTGCATGTAAAGTTTTAAGGATATTCTGGGTGTGATATTCTGCAGAAGTGGCCACGTATGAACACTTTTTGTTTAAAAAACAGTGGCAAGATGACTTTGAAACATTGTGAGCTGGAATTCCTGGAACTTTATATTAGGAATTACATATAAGTGAAAATAAAGTAAACTCGGAGCGCTGTGTGTTTACAAAGTGAACTGCACTGGCGCTGTGGACATCTGAGTTCATTTAGAGTGTTAGCATACAAGGCAAAGTTCCTGTGAACCACCCTAAAATTACTGATAGAACAATAAGCAAATGGGAGGCAGCATTTATGACAATGCAAGCAGCATGAATCTGGCAATGATGGATATATGCACACCCACATCATCTCTGTCCAGGACAGTCTCTCCACTCACATACAGACAGCAAAGACAGCTAAAGCTGCACTTACTCTGAGTCATTCGCATAATATAAACTCTGAATCCACTGACTAGTCACATTTATCTGAACGACTAGTTCCTACTGGAATACATTGCTAAAAGTACCTTATGATCAAAATTTTTCAAACGAACAGCTAGAGATGTACTGAACACTTGAGCACTACTGCTAATAGCCTGGCTGCTAAGTGTTAGCCGCTAGCACAGTGTCCAGCTGGCTGCTTCTCATCGCCAGTCAATCAACACAGTTATATCTGTGTATTTAGAAATGCCCTGCACCATCTACATGTAAAACCATCCTCACGGCTTGAAATCACCCATAACTGACATAGAAAAATAAAAATAATAATAATGATAATAAACAAACTTACTTTTCTTTCTTTGCTTTGACTTCTGCCTTTGGCCTAAAAAAGACAGACAGACACAGACACAGATTAGAGGTTTAATTCACATTTTATGGTTTAAAGGAATAGTTTGCTAAAAATGAATCTTGAGTCACCATTTACTCATCCTTGATCTGTGCTGTTATGTTTTCTGTGGAACACAAATTTTAGAAGAATCTTTGATTACAATCTATTTCCAAATAAATACAAAAAAAAAGTCGCAACAGGTTTGATGCCAATGACATTTGGACACAAGACACTTGAGAACTTCGATGTAATTGATGCCCAAAGATGCACCTATAGAGCTTTTTTGGTCTTGATTTCATGTTCCCACAAGAAAAAAATAACAGCACAGCGAACAATAAGTCAGAAAACTTCGATAATACTTTCCATTTTAGAAAGAACGGCTCCTTTACATACCTGCATTCACACTTGGTGTGTTCTGTAAAACTCATTTGAAAATTATGCTGCGATACACGTTGTTTGACTCGCAGTACCTAGACGAACAAACAAAGCACTTAGTGTGTGCATTACATACAATGTGACTATACTGTATTGTGTTTCAATGTGAAAACTGAGGGTTCATGATGTAAAATCACAGCTAAAAGGATTTTTTTTTTTTACACACTGTTGAATAAATGGCAATGCCAGGCCTCGACCGTGGCCAAGAGCGACATCAACCACATAAACGGGGCGTAAACACAGTGTGCAGTGGTAAACAACATAGCTGACATGCCAGTTAACACCGCCTCACTGTCCCATGTTGGGCAAGCGTGATTTCATAGGAAGCAGGGTGAAGGATTGCACACGCTGGATTGAACCAGTCTCACCTCCATGGTGACGTTGCGGGTCTCTGTAGGCACACACTCGAGCGCTTCGTCGTTGCAGCAGCCGGCGCAGCGCATGAGAACCACACAGGACGGGATGTATGTGTGCTCGATCTCGTCGGGATACTCCTGAATGATGTCTACCAGCAGCTCTCGTGTCTTGCACGCACTCTTCTTATACACATCCAAGAAAGGAATCACTATAGAGCAAGCAAGGCGAAAATGTTCAGTCACTATCATACCATTCTCACACTATTCGTTTTTTTTTTTGTTTTTTTTTGGTCAAACTAAAGGGATAGTTCACACTAAAAGGAAAGTTTTCTCTTCATTTACTTACACTATATATGAAACCTGCATGCTGTTATTTGGTCTGTGAAACACAAAAAGAGAATCTACTTCAGGCTCTTTTCCATTTAATGACGTTATTTCCATGACCGAGTCTGTTCCTCACACAAACCTATTGGTCAACTTCAGAAGACTTGACCCTTGTGGAAAAGAAGTGCCCTTAATCGTACTGGATGTGGTGTTCTTCAAATCTTAAAAGTGTAATAATATTATTGAAATAAAAGGATACTTAAGTGTACTTTATGACTGTTTTGACACTTAATTTGATGTGTTGACTAACATACTAAAGCACAAGTAAAGTTTCTGGAAAATAGTTTTAATTTTAGCGTGTTATTTGTTACTCCATCAGTACAAATGTGTAATTGCAAATATATTTAAATACAAGAAATACAAGTAAAAATGGCATTACGTTTATTTTCGCTTACCAGTACACTTTTACCATATTTCAAAGACAATACACTGTAAAAAAATATTGTTGGTTTAACTTAAAAAAGTTAATTGAACTGGAAAAAGTGAGTTAATAAAATGAAGGAGAATGATTTAATCATCAGAAACTCAAAATGATATGTTATCTGAACTAAATAAATTATTTAAGTTGATTTGACAAAAGGAAAAAATGTTGCGATTACTAACCATGAAAATATTTTTTTTTTTACAGTGTAGTTATGAATAGTTATGAAATTATGGGCTAAGAAAGCACTCTAAAGTTCAGCTAATTGCATTTAATATACATTTAAACTATAATAAATGTATTTAATAGCAACATTACACTTAGTTTGCAGTTAAGTATATTGTTTTAAGTATATTTTATCCATAATAAGTCCCCTTTTTAAAAGCATCCTAAAGTGCACTTCTTTTTCACAAGGGGAAATATAGCACATAAGTCATTTTATTTGTATTTGTGTTTTTCTGTCCTTTTTATAGCAAACAGTCATGGTAAATATGAAAAGAGTAGCCTGAAGATTGTTCCCCTTTTGTGTTCCAACTTCAAAATAACAGAATGCAGGTTTGGAATGACATATGAAGCCATTACAACCATTAAAGTCAGATGCATTGCCCCACACCTTCACACAGGCCTGTTCTGCTAATTGGAGACTTTACTTTCCCAAGTGGGCAAAAAAAAGACACGTCACACATGTTGAGGCACACATCAACATGTTGTAGAATAATGTAATATATGAATGAATAATAGCCTATAAAGAACCTTTGGATTCTTTCTTGTCATTATAGAACCTATTTAAGCATAAAAGTTCCTTTGGAGTTGAGTAAAGAACCCTATGCTTCATATATAGAACCCCTTTTTTCTAAGAGTGTACTCCAGCCCAATCCGCGCACCTCTCGGAGCTGGCTTCCCATCATTCATTCTGACCCCAGTGCCTCATGACCTGCAGACTGCTAGGGAAAAGCATGACCTCAGGCAGTGTGGCGCCAGGCTTTACTGCAGACACCTGACCTCTAATAGAAGCCCACCCCGTGTGAGCGCTCCATGCCACCCATGAATGCAAGAAACCAAACACAACTGTATTTATGATGCTGATTAAGTTAATAATTGCTATGGTGGTACTGTACCAGCCACATTTCACCTAATACCCCTATGACACTTATTCATTTATGGCTATGCTGTTTGTATCACATATCTCTATTTAGCAAAGTGCAAAGTCGCACAGTATCCAGTTAGACTGAAGAAATGTCTCTACAAACTGATTTAATATGTTCAATTAATGCTGACTAAGGAGATCTAAGTTGTGGGAAAGTGATTATGAATAAAAGCAGATGATGTAAAAATAACAACACACGTTCCCTCAGAAACGTAATAGGGACACTATACAAACAACCAGTGCCACTGCTAACAAATAATTGTGACCTTGAGGACAAATCAAGGGTAAATCATGCAGCGTTTTTGTTAATAAACAAACAAAGCCATGGTCAATGACTCCACACAAGGTTGCTCGTGGGTAGAATAATTATTCACTTTGACAATCCTCAGCACAACCTGAGGGTGGGAAATATGTCCCAAATCCTATGTCCGAGCAAATATTTATGTAAGTTCAGTCTCAGTGTGATATGAATTGTTAGGAGAAAGAGTGTTGCGTAACAGAGAAGAACCACACACATACAGTTTTTGAAGGCCTATTATCTGCCTCTCAAGCCTGGGATAAAACCATTTGTGGTTTAAATTTTGCATTGTTGTCATTACAAATACGTCCTCCAGGTGGTGCTACACCCTTAGCCTGATTTCAAATACATTTTTCAATGTATCAAATACACTACACATATAAAGGGACTTACCATCATTTTTGCTCTTTCCCCCTTCTTTGGGTATGTGGGCAGCCTATCGGGACAGAGAAGTGACAGTTATGAGTGACAGATCGCACAGAAGTTATAATCTGACTTTTTTTTTGTACACCACTGAAAGAAACCAATAATAATGCTTGGGAAACTCTCAAAAGTGAACATTTCCTTGAGTTTTGCATAACCAAGCATGATCAGAATCTAGAAAAATTAGTTGCTTATTATATCAGTAAGGGGTTTGCAGTGGCTCTCAACCTTTTGGCCTCCCATTGGCCAAGAAAATAATCAAAGGCACTGCCATTTAGACTAAGATATTTCCTGTGGAACTGCTGCTGCAATGATGAAAAAGCTGCTTGTTTTCCAGCTTTTAATTAACACAAACTTGCAGTCTCAATAGATAATAAACAATAGTTAATTTCCGATTCCATTATTTTGTATAGTCTATTAATAATAACATTAACCTCTGCTGAGGGGACTAATTAAAAGCAAGAAATATGATGACAGTTTAGGTACAATGTCAGAAAAAAATCTGTAAAAATCAAACTTTTGGGGGTAGGCTTGTCAGTGGGTCAGTGCCTTCAAATGTACACCCACCAATACCCTAATACAACATTGGTATTGGTATTTTATGCATTATCAATCCTTAAAAAACACATATTAGTACCTTGGTGTACAACTTAATGTAATGAACAAACGTGGGCTACCCACATAGACTATTTTCAGAATTGTAATTAAGTTAGACTCATTTCAAATAATTATAAGTCATTGAGGTCCCATTGGAAATGGGAGGGGTGGGTGCTGGACTCTTGAGAACCACTTCAGAATAAGAAAGTTTGAATGCGATCTACTTTAGAATGTATTAGACTTTCTTCTCTCATCTTAGTAAGTGAGTCAACTTGTCATTCAGAGGCTTCAGAGAGCCAATGATTCTCCTCCTACAATTCAGAGTCAGACTGTCCTATTTTCCCGCCTACAGATTCGTCTCGCTCGCTCGCGATCGGTTGCTGGTTGGTCGCGTGACTGCAGGTGGTGGACTGGCGCAACAGCTATCGGTGTTGCGTGAGAATCTCTCCGGTTTGCCTCACAGACCATCTGCTTCATATCTAACCATACATTTTTCATACTCAACCAACAAATAAACAAACTAACAACGATAATTTACCTCAAAACGTTCCACGACATCAAATACTACGTGCACTGCCATCATTATTCAAGTAAATGAATTAATAAGGCGGGAGACAAAGAAACGAAGGCACTCAGGTAATATCTTGTAATTATTATCGACAATAAAGCAGTTGCTTATATATTTTTAAAAGTATTAAAGAATCACGAGCACTAATACAATGCATAAAGCAAATGTTTTGACTGAATTCGAAATAAGAAATTCAGATAGATTAAACAAGAACCTCCCGTGTGAAGCACGTAATATAGACCTATAATGTCTCACATAACTGCTTTAAATGGAAATTTGCATCTATTGAGCAAAGTATTTGCCTTAACTGAGATTAAATCCTCTGAGGACAGGAACAAGACGGGCTGCCACATTGTTTAGGCTATTCCTGACTTGGCAGATATTCGTTAAGAGAAACTAACTTTTAAGCAGGACATTCCACGTGAAACTTCGGGTAACCTAAGTTAGCGTATAAAGGGTGTAATGGCACCGGGCAGATGCATTCAGTCCTCGTGCGTGTAATCTGACCACACATTAATAAATAAATAAATAAATAAAAATGTCTATATTATCTCTTTTCAAACTCCCCAAATTGCATAGCCCTTACCTTTACAGCAGACAGATGAAGGAGAGCTGCAAAAAATAATTGTATCGAATAAACAACAAAGTTCATGATTGTAATTCCAGTGGTGTGTTGCGATGAGCGTCACCGAACAGTCTTTGGCTCTCAAAAATATTAAAAGCGAAGCTGTGGAATATGAATGAACCGTATGATATCGTGGGTCAAAATAACAATTCCATTCTGCCCTTCAGGACCGAAGCACCTGCGTCGAATCCGCTAAAATTAACTTATTGAACGGCCCCGCTCCTCCAGAAAATTCAACAATATAAATAATAAGAGTAAAATAAGAGAATAACAAAAGAAATTGGGGGGAAATCCACACTATATTGGTCCTCCGCGTATTTCGCTTTTAAAATCCACAGTATCACGGGAAGTCGACTTTTAATGAATCGAAATCCAAAACGTCAGATGCAAAACAAAACAACAACAAAAGTTTTGTATACTTCCAAGCGCAACCTCCACTCTGCACGCGCGACTAGGACCAGAGAACGGCTTCTGCGCGTATGATTATCATCAAGAGCAAGACATTACACGTGCCGGTATAAAGTGATCCAATAATGGCAATCCCTGGTTCAAGAGCAGCACACGTTTCCGTCTTTCCTTGTCTTATTTCCGAAATTGTGTTGGCTTTTCTTGTTTCACATCGGTGTGGATGTTATCGCGCAGTACGGGGAGGTCTTGTCACTTTGCGCTCGCTCTGTCTTTCAGCGCTTCTGCTGCTCAATGCTGCAGATCTTGAGAGAATCACTCACATGGGGAGGGCGCTGATTGGCCACGGCTCAGGCTACGTACATTATGATGCGAAGGGCTTGACTCACTTTTTATGAAGGTGGGAATGGGAAATAAACGCATAATGCCCTTGTGTGGGCTATTCATCTTCATATAGCGTAAAATAGGTTTTGAGTTATACAAAAGCATTTCAGTTGTATTAGCCTACATTCTCAGAATGTCTTATATTTCCTCATACATCTTCCATTTCGGTTTGTACAGGTTTGAATCACTAAAAGGAATCATGACTCTTCATGATTGGTGATGCATGTTAACCATAGCTAGTCTATCTAGAGGTATAGCAACTTTTGGCATTATGGAAATAATAAGGTCCCATTAGTTAAAGGGATAGTTCACCCCCCCAAAAATAAAACTTCTGTCAAGTTATTCCAAACCTGTATGAATTTCTTACTTCTGGTGAACACAAAAATAAGATATTTTGAAGAATGTCGGTAACCAAACATTTGGACCCCATTGACTTCCATGGAATCCCCATAATATCAATGGGGCCCATCGAACGTTCTTCAACATATCTAGTTTTTTTTTAATTTTTTGGTTGAACTGTCCCTTTAACTTTAGTTTATGCCTTAACTAACAATGAAAAATGTTTCAAGAACACTAGTTTCAAAACGTTTTAAAGGAAAATTCTGGTACTGGTTAATGAATGTAATGCAGAGGTAACACAAACCATTAAGGCATTACACTGGAATCCCAGTGATAAACATTTAAACTATACCACGATAATATTTACAGTCTTCTAATATTACAGGTTCACATGCATTGTGAATGATGCCTACTTTATGTCAAATCTTATAAACATGTGTAAACATGAAAATATGTTTTGCTTTCACAGGTTTGCCAGTCACTCACGTCTTCAGCGGTCACAGATACCTGTCCTTGGCAGTCCTGTCATATTTCGAAACCTGCCGGAAGAAAAAAAAACCTATCCTGGAGTACATGGATCATGGATGAATGAAAATTTGAGCTGATGTTTACTCCCTTGTGGCGGGCAGTAGGAAGTGGCAGGGGGTAATACTAGGGCTTCCAAGTTCCCATGAGTACAAGCTGCTGAGAAAATCTAATTCAGCCAACTGAAAGACTCAAGGATGGCGCCCCAGTAGAAAGATGGGAGATTTAGACGTAGTTTAATTTCCCTTCGAAATCACCCTGACCTCTTTCTCACACACACACACACAAAACTCATTCCCCATGTTCCCCTACACAGAGATGGGTCATGGCCTTCTCTCCCACGGCGCTCCAAGTCAGGCACTTTACTCTGTTACTATGGTTGCCTGCCACTTAAAAGTCTCCTTCTCTTTATGTTCTGCCCTTATACTCGCTAACTTGATCCTCAAGTGATAAAATGTTTCTCGCTGTGGAACTTTTTGGGGCTGCAAAATCTGCAAGTTGTTCCAAACCTGTATGAATTTCTTCTGGTGAACACAAAATAAGATATTTTGAAGAATGTCGGTAACCAGTTGGACCCCATTGACTTCCGAAGTATTCCCAACGGGCTCATACACTGTTTGGTTACCGATGTTCTTCAAAAATCTTGTTTTTATGCTGCAAAATCTGTTAAAATGGTAAACCATGCACTCGTGCTTTGGCACAATAACAGTAGGTATTCATTGATAAATGTCATCCTGGAGTAAAACAGATTTCATTTAATGAATTAGCTTTTAGTAAAACTTTAATAAGCATGTTTGGGGACTTGGACTGAGTATCTAAAAAGAGACCCAACAGAATACAGCCACAGCCTGTGAGGCAAAATCATCTTTCTCATTTCAACTCCAGTGAAAATGTATATTTTTCTAGTAGAGAAGAAAAAAGAGTGTGTGTTTATATAAAGGAATTAAATTAATTCATTTATTTGAGCAGAACAGGTACTTGTTCTGATTTTACCCATAGAGGGCACTGTGTAGACACTGCTTAACATGCTGATAATCTAAAGAAATAAAGTGTTAGCATATTATAAGCTTGTTCTGTCTAAATATTGATTTTGCTAACAGTATGTTTTTATTTACAGACGTTACACGTAGTTACTGTTGTAATTACTATAAATTATGCATAATTACATGCAAACCAAACCCTAACTCCAGTAAGTTAATTATTATTACTCAGCACAAATGTGTAATTACACTAACACAGACACCTTAAAATAAAGTGTAACAGTATGTTTAATGTTACTGTAAGAAACATCCATAAAATCCATGCCCATGTAATTCAGCAAATCACACGCCCCAATCAACACAAATATCAATATGTATTCAAGAGCATACAGCACATCATTATGCATTCAGATAAATGATATAAAACACACTATGGAAAAAATATAACCCAAAAGAGACACTGTTTTGGATATTTATTTTATTTGTAATGCTTGAATAGGAGAACATGCAGAGTCAAAGCAGATAGCATCTCTTGATTTAATTAAAGTCATTTAGTTGCATCTTTATTTGATTTGCTCAGTAAGGGCTAGACATATGTTCGTGGTTATTTAAACTCAGTCTGAACGTGAACGAAAGTCCTTTTAAAGTTACACCAGATAAGTTAGGATTAAGGTTGCGTCTTTGACTGGGTAATTCAAGGACAATAATCTCCCTGTCCTTAAACCACAGTTGACTTTGGTGGTGTGATTTTGAACCTTGCCATCTTGAAACCAAAATTTGGAGAACCCTTTCCTTTCTGTTCCATCTGAAAACCTTTTGACTTCACATTTGAGTTGCTTTGAATGTTCTTTTTTGTTTTGTTTTGTTTTTTACAGAAATTTCACAGTCTGGATCTTTACAATGCGTTTCATATTGATGTCACATATGACAAGATTTTTGCCCTAAAAGTACTGTTGCTCATTCACCCAAAAATCAATTCTGTCATTAATTACTAACCCTCATGTTGTTCTAAACCCATAAGACTTTCGTTAATATTCGTAACACAAATAAATATATTTTTGATGAAATGAAGAGATATCTGTCCCTCCATTTACAGTATACGCAACTACCACTTTGATGCTTTATAGAGAGGTCGTAAAACTAATCCGTATGAATTTAGTCCCAATTTTAGTCCCTGAAGAGACACGTTCGCTTCATGTGAAGAACAGATTCAATTTAGGCTTTTATTCACATATAAACATTCACATATTAGTTGTGGTAAATGGAAGCTCAAACATGTTCACTTGATGTGAAGGAAACAATGAGATTTGTTCTTGTGTTACGCAGCGCGTTTGAGCTTCAGTAAGAACCAATGAGGTTTGTTCTTGTGCATCAAGCTGGTTTGGTTGAGCTTGTGTTTATGCTTTCTGATCAATTTTGAAATAAAAGCCTAATCATGTAAAGCGATCAAGTCTTTTCAGATAATTTGGACAAAGTGGTAGTTGTGTAGACTGTCAATAGATGGACAGAAATCTGTCAGATTTCCTCAAAAAGAACTTCATTTGTGTTCTGAAGATGAACGAAAGTCTTCGGTTTGGAACGACGTGAGGGAGAGTGAATGATGACAGAATTTGCATTTGTTGGCGAACTATCCATTTAACATCTCTCTGATCATTTTTCATTCTTGTATTTGGGGAAAGGTGAATCTGTTCTGTAAACGTATGTGTTCAATCTCATTTTATGCCGTTTAACACTCTTGATTTGTGCCTTTCCACAAGTAGTTTTGAAAGCATGGTTTCTCCAAAAAGTAGATTATTAATTGTCTTATTTATTGTTACTTGCACGTCTGAGTTTGCAGATGCTGACACAAACAATTACCTCCATCCTCCCCGCCATCTTCAGGTTGGTCCCATCTCATAACTCCCCGCTACCCTCGGATTGCGCGCTATGCCAATAACTTCATAAATATATGCTTGCTGGGCTGTTACATACATACATATATGCTTTTGTTACATAATTTCATTTTTTAGTATATCTGTACCGTTTTGTGGAGATGATTTTGTTGATCCTCTGAAATCAGCCAACACTGCCCCCAGAAAATGATAGAAATTAATTTGTATTTTTCTAATATACGGATACACACTGTGGAATAGATTTGATTTTTATAATACATTTTGTATCTGTGTCAGAGTCTCCTGCTCTATTTTTTTTTTCAAAAAGTGATCTTTGAGAGCCTCACTCCAGCCAAGGTCTGTTCCCCAGGTTTATCTGTCACCTTGTCCAATAGTCTAAGTCTGAGAGTATTATGTCTCTGCATTGGGTCTGATAGTTTCTGACACAGATTGGAGGACACACTTAGATAATTCACACCATGAGTATCTGCAAGCGTACTGCTCACAGCTGCAGTCCAAATAAAAAGCAAAGCCAGAAAAGATTGCTAAGTGAAATTATCCCAGATATCCCGAACCTGTTCGCTCGGGACTGGATACATCTACTTAGCTGACTCTTGATCTTGCAGGACTGACCCTACCCAATGTTTTAACTACTGACCCACCCTCACAAACTCTCCTCCTTAATCCTAAAAGCCAGTTTGAGTTCTTTAAGATGTCTCACATGCTTTCTGTGAAAATATTTTGTCTGGGCCCCATTTCCAAGGGAGTCACAATGATAACATGAGCTGCTGCAGATCAAGACAGAGCTTGTAAACGCATTGCATAATAATGGAGAGAGCGTTACACCAAGGAAGACAGGGTCAGCGAGGACCTGAAGAGAGCGAAAGAAAGAGATGCTGGATCGGGGAAGTTCCTTAATTCAGCGTTGAAATGACGTGAGAGCGGGGAGACGTGGTGCAACTCCTGGTACGGCATTCCTTAGCGGGATTTAATTGAAGAACAACATGCAGGTTCATCTGCTGCGTAAAAGCCTCCCTAGGTTTTGCTGATGTCAGGAGCGTGTTAACGTATATGGCAGAGAAACTTAATGAGCCCTGTCAGCATCAACACCCACACTAAACACACACAGGCCTGCTGGAGTAGTTTGTTGAACTGCAGCTGCTGCATAAATACACAAGCTTGACTCTTTCACCGATGATAATCA